CCGAACCCCGCCTAGGAGCCCGCCCCACCCTCCCAGGGGCTCCACCCTCAGCCCTCAGCCCACCGGGCCCAGGGACCACAGTGGCTGGACCAACCCAGGACCAGGGCGCCTGGGCCTCTCCCCTTTCCCAGCTGCTGGGGAGGGGAGATGGGGGCTTCCCCTCACCACACCTGTGGCTGTTCCCACATCCCCTTGAGTATCCCAGGAAAAATAAAACGCAGAACTGCACTCGAGCCAGCTGCTCTCTCGAGAAGAAGCCACCTCCGCCCCGTGCGTGAGGGACAGTGGATGGAGGGAGGAGGGGCCGGGAGCCCACGCTCTTGGATGGAGATTTCAGGAGAGCGGGTGTTGCCTGGGCCAGCCAGGGAAAAGGGGATTCGGCCCCCTGGTGGCCACAGAAGGACCTGAGCAGTGCTGGAGGGATCCAGATGGGGTGAAGAGAGGAGGGCTTCGACCTCTCCACTTCTAGTTCAGTCCATTTCTCTCTCTGCCTCCCAGAGTTCCCCCAGAGACGGAAGCCCGGGGCCCAGTGCCTGGCACACAGCATGTGCTCAATAAACAGGGGGTGCTGTTATTCTTAGATGTGGACAAATACTGGTTTCCTTTCCCCTAAGGGCCCAGTGTTCCCTCTGCTCCAGTCATTCCTGATCAGTAGAAAAACTCTTCTATTAAGTGCTGTCACATTTTTTGATGCCTCCTATGGGTGGGCACTTTGTAGGGGCACAGGGAGGGGAGAACAGGACTTTCCTGGGAAGCTAAATGGCAACCCAAACCTAGTAGTGATGGCTAATATTTATGGGATGCTTACTGTGGATCCAGCAGGGGGCGAGTGCTTTACATGAATGTAGCTCATCCTTATGGCTGAGATGAGATGAGAAAGCGGAAACTCAGGAGAGGTTAGGTCGTTTGTCCAAAGTCACAGGCAGGGCTAAGAGAGGTGGGCCTGGGTCTGTCTAATGCTAAACCAGTAAACCATGAGTTTTCAGCTCTACAGCCTTCTGAGCCTGGAAAGAGTTTGATGGCAGCCCCCACTTAGAAAGGAACCTTTCCAGTCCTTGGGGTTGATGTGTTCCCCTGAGGCAGGAGGCAAAGCCTTCCAAGGAGTTAGCTCTTCTGGGCCACATTGGACTGGCTGATTCTTTTGATTCATTCATTCAGCAAACATTTATCAAGAGCTGCTGTTGGCACTGTCCAGCCCCTGGGAGATAGCCCTGAACAAGTGTAGTTTCTACTTCAATGGCTCTAACGGTCTTATGGGAACAACAGACAAGTAAACAAGCAGTTACAATGTAAGGGGGAGCTCTGGAAAGACGGCTGGGTATTAGCTACCAAAGGAGGGCTGAGGCAGGGAAGAATGATCCAAGATCAGGGAACAGCTGTGCAAAGGCCTAGAGGGGAAAGGCATTGAGAGTGCAGAGGCTTGATCATGCCGGTCTTTTGGGTCAATTTGAGGAGGGTGGGCCTGGGTCCTGAGGGCCGTGGGGAGCCGCGGAAGGATTTTGAGCAGGAGAGTGGCATGAATAGATATTTTACAGGTTGGTGTGGGAGACCACCTGAAAAGCAAGCAGTCGTACACACACACTCACAAGACCACAGGAAGGTGGAGAGGATTCCCCTCTGATCCCAATTCCCATGAAGGAAGCAGCTTGGAGCTTATCCCAAACAGATTCCTGGGCCCTGTCCAGGACTTAGTGACTAGACTCTGCCCTCAAATGAGTTTTTAACAAGTGCACCAGGTGATTCTGATGGGCAGCCAGGTGTGAGAACACTTAGATTGGATGACTGTCCAGAAGTTTCGACTGGAAATGCTCATTTGTCTATTTCCCCTAGACTTGCCAAGTGAGGCTCTGGCTGGGTCAGTTTACTTCTCTGAGATTCAGTTTTCTCATCTCTGAAATTGGGACATGGGTGAGGTTTGAACTAGACGATACTCAGAGCAATCGGATGAAACAGGTGTGGTAATCACTACCATTTTACAGATGAGAAAACCGAGGCTTGGAGAGGTTAAACAACTTACCCCAAATCACAAAGCTGGGAAGTGGCTGAGTCCTCTACATTATACAGTTTTTTATGGGTCTATGCCTTTTCCTAGAAACTGGGCCAGGTTTCCCAGGGGGAAACCATAAGGTATATGGGAGTGGGCACGGAGGACCAGGGCAGCATCTGCAACTGTGTGGGCATCCTGCTACAGACGTGCTGTCTAAAATCTCCCCATGTGGGCTGATGTTGGAGGGAGTCTCCTTTGGGTGTTGTGGCTGGGTAGCTGTGCTGGGCTCCATAGGTAAGTGAAGGATTGGAGCCCATCCCTGTGCTTGAGTCGCTCCCAGTCTGGCATAGCCAGGCACACAAACAGAAAGCTACAGTACACAGGGAGGCCTGCTCTCCCAGAGGGGCTGCAGAGACCAGGGGAAGGAGGCTTTAGCAGCCAGGGAGTCTGGGAAAGCTTTCTGCCAGAGGGGCCTTATGAACCAGGTCTTGCAGGATGAATTAGAGTTTTGCAATCAAGAAAGAGAAGGGAAGACATTCATTTCGGGCAAAAGGACCAGCTTGGGCAAAGGCATGGAAGGGTGTGTATGTGGGAAATGATGGGAAGAGCAAAGACTGGAGAGAGTTGACAGGCTAGGACAGGAGGTGGAGGGCATAGAGGAGATGTGGCCAAAGGTGACCCATGAGGAGGGGGTTAAGCTGTAGAGTTCATGGTTTTATTTAAGTTTTTGAAAAACCCTTTGGCCAACAGAATGGAAATGGACTGGAGGGGCAATGGAAGGCAGGGAGACCACTGAGGGAGTTGCCAAGGTGGTCCAGGTCAGAGATGATGATGATGAATTTGAGAGACATTCAGGAGGCATAGATGCTATAAGCTGGATCTCGGAAATAATGCAAAGATGAAGAGGCCTTGAAGATGTCACTCAGGTGACACAAGTGAATAAGCAATGCTGTAAATGGACGTAGGACATTGCAGAAGGAGGAGTAAATCTGGAGTGTACTGAACATACTGGTGACCGTTTCTGAGCACTTAGGAGATGCCAAGTGCTGTGCCAAGCACCTTATACACATTAGGTGATTTAGTACTTAGAACAACCCTAGGAGGTGGGTACTACTATTGCCTTTTTAAAAAAACAAATAGTGTAAATAGCTTTTCTGAGATTAGCAGGCAACAGAGCAGGGATTTGAACCCACATCTGTCTGACTCCTAAGTCTGTGCTCTCGCCCCACTCAGTTCTGCCTGTCGGAACTGCTAGCCATCACTTGAGACTCAGCTCAAGGGCAGCTTCCTCTGGGGAGCCTTACCTGATTCTTCCTGGGGCTCCTCCTCTGGGCCACTTGTGCATACTTCTGTCAACACATTTCTCATATTCTACTGACATTTTGTAGACCTGTCTGCTTCCCCTTCAGTCAGAGAACTCCTGAGGGCAGGGATGATCTCAGTCATTTTTGCATCCCTGATGCCTATCACATGTTAACTGGCTAACTGAATGCTAGTTATTCTAGGCAATTCTTTTCCCGTCTCCTCTCTACCTATTCAATAAGTGAACAAGTTCTGCTATATCGGTTTCCCACATATTTCTTTTACTGTTCCTTTCTCTCCATCTCTGCCGCCTGAGCTTAGCATTGAGCTCTTTGAGGTCGAAGATGAAGAGTATCTAACCTGATAATGCAGTCTAGGAGGCTTCCTACGGAGGTGTCCCTTCAGCTTGAAAAATGAGCCAGAGTGACCTTGGCTGAAGAAAGGCAGGAAGGGCACTCTAGGTAGATGAAACAGCATAAATAAAGGCACAGAGGCGTGAAACAGTTTGGTCTGCATGGGGGAATACGAGGGGTTTAGCATGTATTGCTAAAGATAAATAGACATGCTTGGCTGAGACTAGTGGGATGAAGGTGGAAAGGCAGGGCTGGGTGGGGCACTGCGGAGCCTGGGCTTTGGGGTTTGTTTCTGTGATAAAACAGACACCTGTACAGGGCGCAGCGGGGACACAGAGGAGGGAGTGGATACTTGTCCCTGAGGGGTCAGGTAAGACTTTTGTTGTTAGTGCCCTTGAGACGATTCTGACTCCTAGCGACTCTGTGTACAGCAGAGCAGAACCCTGCCCGGTCTTTTTGCGCCATCCTCTCACCTTCCAGGCACTCTATCAGACAATGCTCTGCTGCTATTCATAGGATATTCATGGCCAATTTTTTCCGAGGTGGGTGGCCAGGTCCTTCTTTCTAGTCTGATTTAGTCTGGAAGCTCCACGGAAACCTGTTCACCGGGGGTGACACTGCTAGTATTTGAAATCCTGGTGGCATAGCTTTCAGCATCACAGCAACGTGCAGCCGCCACAGTATGACAACGAAAAGACAGGGTCGGGGGGAGGTGGAGGGTGTGGGGGGCGGGGAGTGGTTCCCTGACTGGAAAGGAACTCCGCTGAGACAGTGAGAGAGACAAATCTTAACCACTAGGTAAGACTTAGGTTTTACTAAATTTCTGTTATCTGTAGACTAACAATTGTACCATTTATTTCCCTGCTTGCTGTGTGCCTGGTACAGCACTTTACATACATTATCTCATCTAACCCGCACAACATCCTGTGAAATAGGTGTTATTACCTTTACGCATAAGAAGGAAAGGAAGCTCGACAGATTAATAATGTTCCCAAGGTCACACAGATGGAACCTAGCCCAGATCTGAAGAGTTCTTAAGCACTAGACTATATTCTGCTAAAGAGAGCTCCTTGAGGTCAGGGATCATGTCTTTTGCTTTTGTGTGCCCAGACCTAGGTCTTAGAAGACGCCTAATAAACATCAGTTGACTAAATGAATAGATGACCTTTCACTTTCTCCACGAGAAAAAGCACATGGTGCCGTCACTGGGAAACCTCCCGACCACGAGGTGGCGCTGTATCCGTCTCCGCGCTGCGGGCTCGGCTGCGGCGCCTAGCTTCCTCCGGGCCTTTGGCTGGAGCTCAGCCAATCCCTGCGCTCCGAGAGAGCCGGCGGCCGGTGGGCGGGGTCCCGGGGCGGGGTCCCGGGGCGAGGCCCCACGGGCCGCTGGGAGTGGCGACCTCGGTGCTCCCGGCAGCGGCTGGAGGGCGGGGGCCGGACCGAGCAGTGCGGGCTGCAGGTGAGCACGCGGTCCTGGGGGCAGTTCCCTCCCCCCGGCGGCTGCCGGAGCCGCACTGTGCCATGGTGACGGCTCCCGGCCTTGACCTCTGAGTAAGGGGAGGGGTCATCGCGAGTACCCACTCGGGCCCTGGTCACACGGCTCCCTCTCTTCCCGGAGCTTGGAGACCCTCTGCAGCCAGGGCTTCTCGGCCCCTGGCACGTGAGTGAGGACGGACGCAGACGAGGCCCTGAGCGTAGTGGGATAGGGGCAGGAGACCGAGAGCCCAGGGAGGGAGAAGGGTAGATACCGTGGGCCCTGCCCTCCCTTGCGCTCCCATCCCCGGACCGGGCTGGAGTGACCGTCAGGTTAATTCTTTCACCCTCTCTGATCTCCTCTGCCCTGTTAGCAATTATCAAATCTCGGGCTGCGGCTTCGGGTCTCATTGGGCCTCCGGGACCCCGGCACAAGGGCAGGTTTCCCGGCAACTCAGTTGACCTTTACCGGACGCTCAGGCTCCCTCCATGCCAGGCTGGAAATATGCCTCACGGTATTTGCCGGACACGTTTGCCTCTTTCTTTTTGATGCCCTGGGGGTGACTTGTTAGAGTATGCAGCTTCTTGTAATCAGCAAAGGCACTTGCTGTGTTCCTGCGGCCTTTTGAGGGCGGGTGGGTGGATGACTGCTGTGGTTTTACACTAGTGGTTGCTTGAGCTGTCATTGATTCTTTCATTCAACAAACTTTTTTTGAGCATTTTATGCCAGGAGGAGAGGGGGATGGATAGGCCACTGGGGCGGAACAAACATGGTCTTTGCCCTCTTGGAGCTTAAAGTGTTTTGAGAAATGCAGACTAGTGGGATAGGCCAGCACAATGTCTGACACAGAGACAGTGGTTGTAAGTGTTGAATAAATGAATGAATTGACTTATTTGGGAATGATTAGAATGTGAGTAGGACGACAGAGAGAGACCTTGTGCTGCATATGAGAGATAATATTAGTTGTGGACTCATGCTTGATAATGTGTTAAGACAAGTTGGAAATCTGAATGGAGAGTTACTGTTTAGGAAAAGTGTTTGCTTAAAAAGAGAGAACTTGCCTAAAAAGTAGGAAAGAAATGGAGAAGTATTAGGTTTGAGATTCTTTGAGGGTGCTTTTTAACAACTTCTAAATCTTGTAAGTTCACAAATCTCTGAATATATTTTTAGAGTTTGCAAAAAGGGAAGCTCTTCTAGGTAGTGAAATGCCAAGTTGATGGGAAAAAAATTGCAGGAAGCTCTCCCCAAGTCCAGGATTTGGACAGAAACCATACACCTACCTGCAGTGGGTTCTTTCCACTAGAATGAGCACAGGCATTGATGTTGGAAAAGCCTGGGTTCCAAATCAGTGGCTCTGTCACTTCTAGTCATCTTGTTCCAGTTAACACAATGTCCCTGAGCCTTTGTGGCCTTAGACAAAGAGCTGGGCTGATAATTCCTTTGTGGCCTTAGATAAAAATCTAGGCTAGAGTTGTTGTGAAGATCAGTTGATGACGAGTGTGTGACTTGTCCAGCGTAGTGCCTGGGGTTAAGACAAAGGACCAGGAAGGGAATCTTGGAGCTGCTGCGATTTTTCCCCTGATGATGCTCCATTATAGTCTTGGGTCCACAAAATGCGGGGATTCCTCCAAAGAGGATTGGAACCAAAGAGAGAGAGGGAGAGAGTCATTGTTCACTTTAGACCGGACATAGCCAAGTTGGAGAAATACCTACCGGGGCACAAAGACACTTTTGGGCAAGTTACTTAGTCCTCTGCTAATGCCATCTACCTCACAGCGTGGATGTGAGGATTAAAGGAGATAGTATATATAAAGTGCTTAGCCCCAAGTCTGCCACATCATAAGTACTCGATAAATGGTGGCTATCGTTAGATGATCGTTGTGAATAATCTTTGATAATCATTAATCATAGTAATAATCATTTGAGACTAAGTGGCCATTAGAATGACCCAGTTTGTGTGTTTTTACATTACTTTGGTGTCGTCTTACTTTGTTTCAAGAGGCCCTGGAGCCATTTCACTTCTTTTTTTCCTGCCATGGCTTGTACAGTGGTTTTTTTATAGAGAATTTTCAAGTCCTCGTGTGTCCAGAGTATGGATAATGGGTTGGTGACATTTTTAGGGGCTTACTATGCAAACGTGAGGATATGGGTTTGGTTGAAGAGAGTGTATTTTGAAAGGGGTTTGGCCAGCAGATTTGTAAAGTATAGATTTGTGTCATTGTTATAAAAATCAAGTTCAGAGTAGGAAAAAACCATTATTTATTTATCTAAAATCCAGAGTGGTTGGGTAATGGATTAGGGTTTTGGCTGCTTAACTATGCTCCTTATTCTTTATGTGAGGCAAAGGAACTACTTCTCATCCTGGAGCCAGGAGACTCACAGTGGGATCATGCCTGGTGGGGAGAGGGTGGCTGGCTGTGCTCATGGAGAAATAGTGTAGAGCAGAGAAAGGCTCTTTCCCATTCTTGAAATGTTGGCAAACTGTGGAAGGAGGGCCTGGAGTCACCAACTGGCTTGAAGCTTTATTGGGTAAGGCTCAGAGGTCCCCTCGTGGGGAATACTGCCGTATATGGTTGCCTAATTTACATAATTGTCAAAGAGTATAGTACATAAAAGAGATTCTTCCCCCCTTCGCTGCCAATTGAATCTTTCAAAATTTCCTAGGTTGTTTCAGGAGCCCAACTGTTGCATAAAGCCAGGTACCCTCTTGTATTACTCTGCATGGGGTGGCTGCTCGGTAAATTGTGCCAGGCTGCCTGGTAAGTGGAGAGCCCTCGTGGGTTGTCCATGTTTGGTGGGAAGGGGGTGCTGGTTTCTCTCTGATGCTGCCTGTGCTCTTCTGCAGATGTCATGTGGCCTGTGCTTTGGACCGTGGTGCGTACCTATGCTCCTTATGTCACATTTCCTGTGGCCTTTGTGGTCGGGGCTGTGGGCTACCACCTGGAATGGTTCATCAGGGGAAAGGATCCCCAGCCTGTGGAGGAGGAGAAGAGCATCTCAGAGCGCCGGGAGGACCGCAAGCTGGATGAGCTGCTGGGCAAGGACCACACCCAGGTGGTGAGCCTTAAGGACAAGCTAGAATTTGCCCCTAAAGCTGTCCTGAACAGAAACCGCCCGGAGAAGAATTAATGGAGGACACAGGGCCCTGTGGATCCTTCCATGAGCCGTGACTAGTCCTGCCACCATGTCAATCCAGCCCCAGAACTCATGTCTGATGTGCTTTGTCACTTATTCTGGCCCCTACCGCACCACCCAGCCACACACGTACTGGCTGCTCTTCTATGGTTAGGCAGACACACTGGCAGCTGAGGGGCCAGTGAAGAGGAATGCCCTTCAGGCTTCTGGCTGAAGGCTGCATCTGCTGGAGGGTGGCCACAACTGCTCAGGCTTCTGCGCTGATGGGTGCACTGCTGGGAGGAGTGTTCGGAAATGAACATTGACTCTCAGTCTCCGTGGGGAGGCAGTTTGGCCTCAAGTGGGAGTGTTGCCTGGCACTGTGGTGTTGCCTTTACGAGGGATACCTACATGTCTCGTGCCAGTTTGCACTGGGAAGAATTCAAACATTGACCTGGCTCCCTTCACTAGTTTGTCCTGTCCTTTGTGCTCGTTCTTCCTGAAATCCTATCTCATCAGCTCAGGAAGAGGATTCCCTGGGGAAGGAACGCATTTTTCTGTTTTTGGAAGCCCAGGCTGTTCAGCTTGGGGTAGGTGAATTTGCTTGAAAACAGTCACCATCTTTCACCCCCGCCCCCCGTCACTGTATAGTGCAAAACTTGATTAAAGTGGCATCTGAGAACCATATTGATCTAATCCTATCTTCCACATGGTGTTTGGGATCTCTTGAGGAGTTATGCAAGTGCAGACATTTGGGGTAGGATAACATTGGCCTTTAACTAAGGACTCCGGGGCCTGGAAGCTTTGCTTTGCTCATGTGGTTGCATTGAATCCTGGAGGCACAGATTCCCAAGAGCCTTTTTATCATGATCACAAGAGGCTTATAGCACCTCTCAAAGTCTAAATTAGAGTAGACCAGGGGCTTTAATAGTTGCTGTCAAAATATCCAGTTTCACACACACACACGTTTCCCTCTAACAGTAATATATGTAGGTTAAAGAACATTTGGTAAGGATTTAAAAAAGGTCTCCCACAATCCCAGGGCTCTAGGACAACTAAAAAGTTAACATTTTGTTATCTTTCACTAATTCTTGGTGTAGTGTTTTTAGATTGTTATCATTACTGTACATTTAATATTATATTCTTTTTTCACATAGTGTTTCATATATAATCATTTTTCCATCTTATCACATGGTCTTCATAATCCAGATTATTATTATTATTTTTTGTGTGTGAGGAAGATTAGCCCTGAGCTAACATCTGTTGCCAATCCTCCTCTTTTTGCTGAGGAAGATTGGCCCTGGGCTAACATCCATGCCCATCTTCCTCTACTTTATATGTGGGACGCCTGCCACAGCATGGCTTGATAAGCAGTGCATAGGTCCACGCCCGGGATCCAAACCTGCGAACCCCGGGCTGCCAGAAGTGAAGCACTCGAACTTAACCACTACACCGCCTGGCCGGACCTCCAAGTTATTTTTAATAGCTGCATAATTGCCATCAAGTGGGAATATAGCGTAGTTTTTAATAATTTTCCTATTGCCAGACATTTGGGTTGTTTCTGATTGTTCACTAGTATAAATACTGCAAGGACGGTCTTATATAAGGCTTTTCCTGCATTTTGAACTAAATGGTAGGAACAGTAAATGGCATTTTGTATGAAATGGGATGAGCAGTTTCAAGGGTCTCAATGCATAATACCAAATGTCTTTCCTAAAGGGCTGTGGAAGTTTATACTGCATGTTGCCACTTAAGGTGGCGCTGGTGAGGCTGAAAGGGGAGTGAGAGCAGATGCAGGAAGAGGCTTAAGAACCTGTCGTGTTAAGTAGACTGACATTTAACCTAAGTGAGCAAAGGCAAGTAATGAGCATTTGATGAAGAATGAACTACCTTTAAAATGTTTGCCCTGTTGCTTACTTTGGGATCTGAAGCCTGATGGTGTTAACAGGTGGGTGAGGGTGGAATTCCTGAACAGGTAGAGGTGCTAGCTATGGAGTGGGAGGAGCTGGGAGACGTGGAAGGTGGTGGCCAGAGGGAAGAGGGAGGAGGTTGAGTCAGTGACTTCCCCGCAGTCGCTGAGGCCTGGTGGGAATGTTGAAATGAGCTGCTGTTGCTTCTCAGGAAATGAGTCTGACGGGGAGCGTGGGGAAGGAGTGTCTGCTACTGAAGTAAGGAGGAGATTTCTGGTGCTGAAAGGATATGCTAGGCCCAGCTTGGTTACTGGCTCTGGCTGCTGGGCAGGCCTCACTGACAGACCAGTGGTGCCACCCAGTGGCCGTCATGAGCATGAGCATGCCTGGATCCCTTCACTGGGCTGAAGTAGGAGCAGCAACCCGGGATGCCTACAGGGGTCAGTCAGGTGGCTGAAGTGAGCCAGCCAGACCAGGAACTAGAAAGCACAGGCCTGCCTACAGGGGGCAGTGGCTATGCATCTTCCAGTTTGTGCTGCTTGCCCAATGATACCAGATTTTTTCAGTTTTTTTCTAAAAAATACTAGAAATTCAGATTTTTGTATGTGTGTATAAACTTCTAATTTTTAAATGTTGACAATTCACTTTTTAAAAAAGTTCTAAGCATGCTAACATACCCATGGGATTAATTTGACCCAGTGGTGACCTCTCTAAGCGTCCCACTCCTTCTAATGAAATCCGAGAGGTATGCATTGTGTTTTTTTTTAGCAATCTAACAACTTGTGGCAAATATTAGATCCCACGATTGGTTTCCATCGAAACACTTCTGGGCATCCTGTACGTACGTAGTTTAATATCAGCCTAAGCGAAACATTAGAGGACAAAAAAGCCTACAGAAACACCACCAAAAAAGTTTTCCCACAGACTGAGACATTTTTGGATTTTCAGATATTTTGGAATAACCCTGTCACCACTGGTGTACCTCCTCCCAGTGCCTGGCTGAGGAATCCCTATCTTTGGAAATCCAAGTTGCTCCCTTCTTCTAGTCTCACTTTGTGCCCCCTTTTAAATAATTTTATTTCCTAGGACTTGCCCTCACTGCATTTCTGCCTCCAGCAAGTCTATTAATATTCTCAGCTGGTTCTTTCTTTCCCATGAGCTGGCTGAGATCTGCTGCCGCCATGGAGCTGTGAGACTGCACGCTTTCTTGCCTCTGCTCAGGTGATGTTAAGTAGCAAGGTTTCTGTGGATGTGGGCAAAGGCAGGCCAGGGTTGCTGGGATGAACCCGGGCCTGGACTGGTTTTCCTCCATGCTCCCTAATGCACCTTGGAGGCAAGTGGCCCTCTTCTGGACTGGCCCCACAGTCAGGACTCACTGAAACACACAGCAAGTAGATGTGCTTGCGGCTTTTGGCTTGTCCCTGCCTCACGTCTCCTCCCGGCTTAGTGGTGATGGTGGCTTGAGAGCAGGGTTATCCTGTTGAAGAGGGCAGGGATCACGTCTCTGCCCTCAGCGGCCCACTGTCTGGTGCTTTTCCACTCTCTCTTGAGCCTTTCCTGTGCCTTTTGCTGTGTTAGCACAAGTCAGCTGGGCAGCGGCCAGGACAAGCCTGCCAGGGAGCCCTTTGACTCTTGTCAGCTTCCCAGAGGCCTGGGCTGGTGGGGCTGTTGGCTGAGTGGAACACTGCGGGAGTAGCTCCCCGGAGTCGCTTGGGAGCCAGGTGGTAGACACGAGAAAGCTCCTGCCTTGCCTCGCTTGTCCTTTTCTGCTTTGGTGTGGGTCTCTAGGCAGTTGTAGGGTGGTGAGCCACTGTGGCAGAGTAAAAATAAAGTGGATTCTAGAGTCTGAGAGACTTGGGTTATGAATACTCCCTCAACAACCAGCTGAATGACCTTGGGCAGGTCACTTAGCCCCTCTTAACCTCAGTATCTTCATCTGTAAAACGAGGGTAAGAATACCTATTTTTGCTGGGTTGTTGTGAGGTTAAGGTGTAACATATGTAAATGTAATGTATGTATTGCCTGGCACTCTCCATTTATGACTTCTGGAAGCAACCTTCAAGGTGATTTTCCTTTTTCTTTTTTTTTTTTTTTTGAGGAAGATCAGCCCTGAGCTAACATCCATGCCATTCCTTCTCTTTTTCCTAAAGAAGACTGGCCCTGGGCTAACATCCGTGCCCATCTTTCTCTACTTTATATGGGACGCTGCCACAGCATGGCTTGACAAGCGGTACATCGGTCCGCGCCTGGGATCCGAACCTGCGAACCCTGGGCCGCCAAAGCGGAGCACGCGCACCTAACCACCACGCCACCAGGCTGGCCCCTGATTGTTCTTTTAAACCAAACTCCTCAAGCCCCCCAGCCCTGTCCCTGCATTCCTCCCAGCCTTTTGCTGCTTGCTCTCTGCCTCCACCACTTCTTAGCAGAGTCCATGGCAACCAGTAGGTGCTCAATAAATATTAACTGCTTTAATTTTATTGCAGGAAAAGCCTCCATTTCCTGTAATAGTTGCGTGTATCCTGGTGATCCTGGTGATGTGGGGATCCGAGGGAGAAAGCAGTCTTGGCTGGGAGAGTGATAACAAGGACCCTCACAGGCCTGGTGGGTGGGGGCTTCTTAGGAGTATTTTACAGAAAGGACTGCCTTGCATAAGAACCAAGCTGGCAGGGGGAGTGTGGGCATCAGACCTGTGTTGCCACATAATGTTTCCGTTGGTGCTGTCTGCAAAGTCAGAGACAAGAAGTGGGGAGCAAGGTGTTGCGGAATGCCCAAGAGTGTCACGTATCAGGAAAATGGGTAGAAGAAAGAGCCTTGGACTTGGGGGCAAGAGAACTGGGTGAGCTGGGGCATGCCCCTTCATCTCTCCTGGCCTTGGTTTCCCCACCTGCAAAATGGGAATACTAATGTGTTCTCTGCTAATAGTGTAAAAAGAGTGAGAAACCAGTTTAGAGAGAGAAACCAGCTTTTTTTTTTTTTTGTGAGGAAGATCAGCCCTGAGCTAACATCTATTGCCAATCCTCCTCCTTTTTTTTTTCCCCCCTCCTCAAAGCCCCAGTAGATAGTTGTATGTCATAGTTGCACATCCTGCTAGTTGCTGTATGTGGGACGCCGCCTCAGCATGGCCAGAGAAGCAGTGCGTTAGTGCGCGCCCAGGATCCAAACCTGGGCCACCAGTAGCGGAGTGCGCGCACTTAACCGCTAAGCCACGGGGCTGCCCCGGAGAAATCAGCTGTGAAAACATGCAAGTGCTGTGATATGCCGGTAAAACCTCACTTTCATTGAATTGGGATGGCAGCCAGTCTGAATAATGAAATAGAAATAAGTGCTCTTTTATTCCTTTTCTCTACAGTCTCCCAAAGGGTTTGCTAAATAGAAGTCTTTGGGGAATCAGCTTTAGGAGTAAAGAGGAGTACTTAGTAAGTAGTGTGTCAGTTTGCAGCATGTTCCAGTGGTGCCTCTGATGTACTTAAAAACAGTGTATTCTTTTTGAATTAAATTTGTTAACATTAGTTATCTGCTTATCACATCCTTTTTACATAATGCAAAAGTAAACCCTGGCCTTGTTTTTTGTTTAAAAATTCCAAATGGGTCTTCCAAATACTTGAGATTTTAAAAAATCTTTACTGGCGTCCCAGCAAAGGCAGCTCTTCTGTCGAGAAGTGTCCAAAGTCCTTTGTGCCCGTATGCTCTCCCTCCACTGCCCGATCCCCTCACTTCCGTCCATTTCTATTCACTTCTGGGCCTGAGCTGCCAAGTGCCACTGGAGAAATTTGCATGACCCTATTG